GGTATCAGCACTCGAACAGCCTTCTGGAACGAAATAAGTTCGTATCCCGAGGCACCACCGTATTTCCACTTGAGTAAAATACCCCTTTTTATATTTATCTAGTTCGTGTGCAGTATATTTTGGAATCTTTATCATTCCATTGCTATTTATATAAGATTTATTTGCAGTTTTTCAAGACAATGTATTCTTATTTGAAGCTCAGAACAAAAAGAGGAGGTGCTCTATGTTTTCAAGACTGTGTTCAATGTGTGTTTTTGCAGCAGGTTATGCACTGGGATGAAGGGCATGTGTTGCTGGGGGGATGGGGCATTTTTTGCACGATCTCACCTAGGACACCAAAAACGCCAGGACTGCCACTGTATTCACCATCACTGACTCCCTAGTTCTCTTTAAAGAAGTGCATAGATATCATTATTTCATGAACAAAAAGCAGTGAACTTAACCCAATTGACATCAAAATTAAAGCTTATTCCATATTTATACACATCAACAAACACACAACTAGGACATTTATGGACTCTCTATACTATTTAAACAATTATGATTTTATATCTCATGTCAAATCCTTGCAACTGAAATACAAGACAGTAGTAATAATAATCCAAACATTGGTAAAAATATTTTAAATTTGTTAAAAGATAAACAAAATATGGCATGTCCATATTTACCTTTTCACACAGTCTTGGAAATTATTTATATTATGTGAATATTGTATGAAAATTTTAATGTTTAATAAAAATTTAGCCATCATGAGGTATTATACATTATACCTATCACAAAGAATATCCTATAAATACTGTATACTGTATTTAATATGGTGTATCTTCAGTATATTTTTATATTTGCCTTTCTACATGATGTTAAATTATGTTTTTTCACTGCCCTTCATTTCTACAGAAAAAGAAACTCTCTCTACATTCACATTATCATAATTGATCAATAAAAAGACTGCTTTGTTACATAGTGGCCAATATAAAGGCATGTAGTTTCTTTCAGCCAACAGTGATGGGAAAAAGTCATCCAGAATCACAGTAATAACTTGATTAAAATTGTTGTTCACCAATACAGACTAATGACACTGCCAAGGGTCATGAATGCATCAAGATGGGAAAACAGAAAAGGGCAAATCTTTATGGGATATAACTGAGAAAAAACTATTTACTTAAAATAATTTGTTTGAATATTTGGAGTGATCCTAACCACAACTCAGCTGGTTTCAAAGTGCCATTTTCCTAAGTGTGAAACGACTTAAAGGTGAGGACCTACTGACACTTGAGATAAGTGATCACATATGATACTTAGAATGTGTTGGTTCATCTGTGGGGAATTTCATTACAGATGTACTTTTTATAAAGAAAAATCTTCTGTACAAGAGTTACACTGATTTTTTTAACCCATATCTTTTTCTAACTCACAGTTGTCTCTCACCACAGATAGGGTTTCCTTACATTTTTTTTATATCACTCTACTTTGGTGGGAGATGGAAAGTGTTAAAAAAAAAATTAAAACATTTAAATTAAGTTTGCAAATACACAAACACAATTGAAAATGTTTCAAATACAAACCATCTCCAAATTTTAATGTCAAATACCTAAGAGTAATGTTCAAAACACATGCTTAGAAAAATCTACATGTTATATTACATTTCAGAATTAGTATCCATCCCTCATTTGTGTAAATAAACAACAATAATGAGAAGGATCAGAATTATTAAATTAGAAAATTATGAAAGATTTTTTATTAACACATCAGCCACCTCTCACCAAGGCAGGGTGGCCCAAAGAAGAAAAATTTTCATCATCATTCACTCCATCACTGTCTTGACAGAGGCATGCTTACACTACAGTTATAAAACTGCAATATTAACACCCCTAAAAAAAATTAAAAATCAAAGAAGAAAAACAGAAATGGGGCAGCTTCATACACAGGAATCAAGAATAGATACAGCAAGGCTCAAACAGGGTGGGATGAAGAGTTGGAGCTCATCCCTAGCAGACAGTAAAACCTTGATACAATGGATTTCTGATATAACGGACAAAACACTGGGTTGGACAAATGTTCGATGCAAAGGAAGAAGTCTGTTGCATTGAGATTTTTGTCTGTTAATGGTAGTGTGTATCCTGTACCCCCCTACAACAATCTAGGACCACTGCACTGAGATTTTGTCTATTAGCAGTACTAAAAGTGTCCACTGCATCGGGAATTTTGATACAACAGATTTTCGTTTATACAGACACTTCCTCATCCATACTATTCCATTATACTGAGGTTTCACTGCACTAAAGATAATTATGAAATAGGTAATCATGTAATAAAAATTGGTAATAATTATGAAAATCTTCAACAGATTAGTGAGAAGCTTGAGAGTACAGTACATGGCAACCCAACCTCTGCTTAGTGAGTTTTAATTTGGCTGTGACCAGTCACTACTAGTAGTGGGAAGAGATAGTGTATTTACTTTTTTCTTACTTAATTTCTCTTAAGCAGCTATAAGACACTACTCCAGGTTATATTAATTGCATTTTTGAAAGATGAAAGAACAAAGGAAGAAAAATACAAAAGCCCAACTTTCCAAAACGCTTGGCATTATATGACATCTTCAACAAGTAAACATTTGTGTTAGTAATGAACAAATAATAATAGTGACTGAAAAATACTACAGAAACATTCAGAGTATGAAACTCTATAGAAACACACTGAATGAATTTGTGTACTCCAGAGAAACTCAAGAAGTAAACGATTTACTCATTTATATAAGTTTCCTATACAATATATGTACAATATAATGAAATAAATACAAGTGTAAGAGTATATACATTTAAAATGTCAGGCAATGGAGAGACTGTGGATGTCACTGACAATTTTGAGGGCATCATAGCTGCCTGTCACGCTAGTCATACCAAGATGACATAACAATGAAACATTTATACTGGCAGTTGCATTGCTCAATCTTTACTAATCAAATAAAATTAGCAAATGGGTAATTTTAATGTTTGCTCTACACAGCCCTCCTGATATTCACAACACTTAAAGTGAGACTTTCCAATTACACTCTTGACTAAAGACATTAAAATTCTATACACACTTAAAAGTAAATACAATATGTCTGAAAAGTCTTGGAGTTACCACAGTCAAAGTTTTTCACTATAATGTACAAAATATTTGTCCAAGCTCTATACAAATGAAAAAGACACAATGCTATAACATATTCCACCAATGTTATTACAAACCTTACTCTGAAACTATATTGGGGTAACAACACCTAAATGCAAAACTCAACTGCTGCCCAGGGTCAGGACAAATGGTGAAATTTCTTTACATTTAAGATAGTGCTCTCAGGAAAAAGTGAAGAAAATATGATTACTAGAGGAATGTTGACCTGAGAACATGAACCACAACAAATCTACTAAACCTTCACTGTGCCACAGCCTTAGGATAATCTCAAAACAATTGCTGAAAACTCGACCTTTCATGAAGACACGACTCCAATGCAACCCTTATCGGAACATTTTGATCAAAGTAGAACTTGATAAAGCTCTACATAGTGAAATGTTGGGGCAATAAAAGCTTGCTCCACACTAATGCCTTGTTTGCAGTAATGTCAACAAAACACCTTTGCATCATAATTTCAGGTTACAAGACTTTACACAATATTTAATGATCTGTAAACAATATAGAAGTTAAAACTAACATTTTAAAATAAAGTGAAGACTAGTGTTGTCTGAATCTGATATAAATAATTAGTTAAAACATAAACCAATTTCCCTCTTCATTCTTTTGAGTAGCAGCTTTCCATGTTATAGATAAGCAAAGTGTGAGGCCATAAGACAACAGTGACAAGTCTTCCACATGCCTGGTGAACAATGTTGTCACACACTGGTATCAGGCAAGATCTAGTCTCTCTGAGCTAGGAATGCAGAATATTACCCCAAACCATACAAATGCATTAGTGATCCCTTTAGAGATTTGGTTTAATGCAAATTTTTACTAATTTTATATAAGCACACAGAAACAGTGTCTCAAATATTAATAATTAACCCTTTGAGGGTTTTGGTCGTACTAGTACGTCTTACGCGTAGGGGTTTTTGACGTACTAGTACTCATAAATTCTAGCGGCCTCAAATCTAGTGGGAGAAAGCTGGTAGGCCTTCATATGAAAGAATGGGTCTATGTGGTCAGTGTGCAGTCTAAAAAAAATCCTGCAGCACACAGTGCATAATGAGAAAAAAAAAACTTTGACCATTTTTTTTTAATAAATCAGCGACTTTGCAGTGTATTTTCGTATGGTATTTATTGTTGTATTCTAGTTTTCTTGGTCTCATTTTATAGAATGGAAGACATATTACAGAAATTGAGATGAATTTTGACTGGTTTTACAATGAAAGGTGCCTTGAAATTGAGCTCAAAGTAGCAGAAATGTTCGATTTTTACCAAAATTCAAAAGTAAACAAATCGTGCCAAGCGTGCAATACACGTCAACGGTGAGTCTAATCTTCTTTCACAAGTGCACCAATAATATTTATACCATTTTTTTCACTAATGCAGTAGTCTGCATAACAGTAAATCTATATTTTTTGTGAAAATAAAAATTCAAAGTGGAAAGCAAAAGAATATAAGAGGGGCCTTGAGACGTGACTAATGACTAGAGGAAATGTCCCTTTTAGTGCCAGGAATGTCTTTCTGTTTATTCTGACCCTATTCGGAAATTGGCATCTTTTGAAATTTGTGTGAAATTGGCAAAATTGCTAAATTCTGACCACTGTACTGGATAGTTGAATTTCATAAATGGGTGGTTTCTTGCACCCATTCGATAGAAAAAATGGAGTTCTAGCGAAATATTCATGTTTTTTGTCGACTAGTACAGTGAAATTGGCCGAAAATGGGGCTCAAAGTGGACAAAATCGCCGATGCGTAAACATCGCCGAGACCGCTAACTTTGCGAGAGCATAATTCCATAAGCTTTCTATCAAATTTCAAACTTTTGGTGTCTTTATGATCGGGAAAAGATTCTCTATCTTTTCATAAGAGAAAATAATTTATTTTTTTTTTAAATTTGGCCGACCCTGAGAACGAGTTTCGGAGAGGGCCTGTCGACCCTCAAAGGGTTAATTTAGGCACTGAATGGCAGCAAAGACTAAGCGCCACCACAGCCAGAAGCCGGGAAAGTGAACTAATTCCTCAATGTTTCATTGTTGGAAATGTGTACTGTCTTCTGCATCTGTAAATTAGGTTCAGAGCCCCAGAACAAAGTATGGTAACTTCAGCCTCTTAGCTCTGATCTCTCTCACATAAGCATTTTTCTCTATTGTTTGAATTTGGCAGCACTTATTCTTCTCTGCCTCACAGTGCCTCAAATGTATCTACGACAGCACTCATCATCACAGGTTTATTAATTATAAATTCCTAAGGGATAAACACTAAAGCCAAACAAAACTTCATAGGTTGACAAAACAACTTGTACCATACTTTTAAAGTACCCTGGTATGATAAAATTACCAGGAAATAATATCTTAAGACTGCATTCTGTTCATAATGTTGTGGTTATTAAATCTTCATTTTACAACATGCTTCCGAAGTTGTTATTTTCATCATTCACAATACAAGATTGAAACAATTTAACAATTAAATATCTGTACAATGTGGCCATAAAATTGTTAACTCATAAGTGTTAATAAATCCTATTATGGAAAAAATGAGCCATAAATGAAGTTTATAATATAAAGGCTCTGACTAATTCCTTTATGAAAAGAAACTTCTACATTTTCCCAAATTCTAAAAGGAAATCACAAGTGGTTAAAATTAGTCCTCAAGTTTATAGGAGCGGCTGTTGCGCTGTCTGTGGCTGGGAATAGACAGGGAAAGTATTTGGTGGTCCATTTGAGTGTTCCGGGGGTCCACTGGGGGGAGGAGCAGGCACTGGTCCATAATGACTAGAAACAGGGAAATGTCCATAGCTTGGCATCAAACTGGCTCCTGATCCTTCATGACTGAAATAGAGTTCAAAATGTTATCTGCTAAAGCTCAGAACATGCTTTCACATTAAATATAATCAAGGAGAATTTCAGTAAATAAAGACAAGAGAGTTTTTATAAAGGAAGAAGAACAGAGTCAAGAGAGGATATAACTGGCAGTGGAAGAGGAGGAGAATTAAGGACAGAGACAGAGTACAACCCAAAGAAATGGTAGAATTTCTTTTTTTTAACTTGAAAAGTTAAATACTGGGAGCAAATTTTAGAATATGGAGAGTACAGCAGTTGATAAAACATTTTTTTTTTATCACACTGGCCATCTCCCACCAAGGTAGGGTGACCTGAAAAAGAAAAACTTTCACCATCATTCAACACTTTTGCCGTCATTCACACAATATCACTGCCTTTACAGAGGCACCCAGATATGTCAGTTTAGATGTCACTCCAAACAGCCAATATCAAGAGAAATATTGGAAGATTTGCCCAAATTTTAAGAACACATACACATACATTTTAAACTGTCGTAAGTGAGCACCTCTGCAAAGACTGATTATGCATGAGTGATGGTGAAAGAATGATGAAAGTTTTTTCTTTCTTTCTGGGTCACCCTGCCTCAGTGGGAAACAGCCGATGTGTTAAAAAAAAAAATAAACTTACATACAAGGAAAGAATAATACACAAATAACCCAAGAAAAAGAAACTTATGATGACATTTCAGTCTGACTTGGACCATTAGTCACACAAGTCAAATCAAAACGTCATAAGGTTCCATCTCCTAAGTGTGGGTTATCTGTGTATTGTTCCACTCACAGTATTGTGACTTTTTTGTTGAATATTAAAATGGTATAAAATACCGACAGGATGTTAAGTAAGACACATATGCAAGTTAGGTATCTTTATTTCAAAACGTTTCCCCTACACAGTAGGCGACTGAAGAAGCCTACTGTGTAAGCAAAACATTTCGAATTAAAGATACCTAACTGTTGCATATGTGTCTTACCTAACAGCCTTTTTTGTTCTATAAGGAAAGAATACCATGTTGAGTAAGATTTGTTGAAAACTATGAATATAAAATATAAAATTAAACAGCCTTAAGTAAATGACCACATGCCAATTACCAGCTTATTTTACTCACCTATTTGGAGGTATCTGCTGGAAATCTGCAGGTGGAGGAATAGCTTGCCCATGTGGTGGCTGTGGACCTGGCATGGAAGGACCATGAGATGCCTGATTGTGTAAAGGTTGGTTGGGTCTAGGCATGGAACTCATTTGTTGCTGAGATGGAGGAACTGGTGCTGCCCCAGGCATAGAAGACGGAGGCATGTTTTGAAAAGAGACTGGCCCTATTGGGGCGCCAGGTGGAGGAGGGCCCATGTAAGTTACAAACTGATTGGGTCCTCCATACATCTGGAAAACATTATTATACTAAAAAAGTGCTAAATGAGTGAAAAACAACATTCATGTTCCAGTATATACTTAAAATTACCTTACAAATAAAAAAGTACCAATGTGACCATAAATATTTCATTAAGGTTGGATACTGGTACTGTTTCTAATTTAAAATAAGATAAAGCTCCATATCCAGTTTTATTTTTTAACACATCAGCCATTTCCCACTAAGGCAGGGTGACCCAAAAAGAATGAAAAACCCAAAAAGAAAGAAAAAAAAATGGTATAAGTAAAATGGTTAAGGTTTATCAGCAAGATGATTCATACTAAGATATTTTACTTGCTGAAAGATAACCCAATGCATATATCCATTGTCCTCTTCACTTTTTTAAAAGACAAAGAATATGTAATGAAGTTTAATAAATAAAATGACAATGGAAATTTGGGAAGAACTGTGGTCTTTATTTTTATTTTCATGAGGAAGGATCAAGTCTGTAAGAATCATACAGCTACTGGGAAATGGGAGATGATCAGGTTTGAGAAATTAATGTAACTTCAAATTCTTTAAGTAAAAAGCCCTTTGAAGGGATTGTAACCTGTAGCTGCAGGATTAACATCCAGAAGAAAATAGTGTTGAGGAGCCAGAGTGGAACAGTACTAAGCCACATCCAGAGACCAGCCTACTCTATATGTGACTGTTGTAATGCACTTCCTACTAAAGTATACAAGTGCTCCTTGACTTACAAAGAGGTTGTATTCCGAAGAACCCCATCAGGTGAAAATATCATAAGTCGAATATGAATACGATATAATAAGTAAATAAATATCTAGTCACTGAATAAGTAAATAAACAAATAATTACTGAGATTAATTAAATACCAGACTAAATACCAGAAGCAAGAGACACAATTGGGCGATTAGTTGACATAACGGGCTTGGGCAAATTTGATTAAACGCAGAAAAATGTTTGACGACTACTGAGTGTGCACTGCTATTGCACCATTGTCAACTCGAACCACTGTAATGTGAGGAGTACCTGTACTTTAAAACCAGATAAGGTGGTGTACCTGCGGTGGTATGCCTGGTGTTGGCGACTGAGCATAGCCAGGCATCTGTCCTGGGTTCTTCGGTACATAGTACCCACCCAGCGTAGGTGGCATATCACGCATAAGCTGAAACAGCATTTTATCAAATTACATATTAAATTGAATATGTGCAAAATATAATACAAAAAATAAAAATAATGAATAAACTTTTTTTTTTTTTTAACAAACTGGCTGTATTCCCTTTAATCCCATTTCAGTGTTCTACCCTATATTTATAAACAAAGCCAACTATGAAAAAATACTATAAAGTTCTTTGTAAATAGTGATAGAATACTAAAATAGAACCCAATAGGAGGTAATACTTTTGCATGTTATTAATCCTTATTCTATATATCATAACATCAAATATGTTATTCAGATTGCCCATCCCTAGTTCATGCCACAGCAGATTTTCACATCTACATATATTGTTGGAACCATCCTTCAAGAAACAATTCAGCTGCATCTGTCCTTGTCTTCTTCCTAACTAGATATTTTGCTACATCAGTAACATAACGAACTTCACTTGTAACATGACTTCTTCTTCTTCTTCTTTCAACAAACCGACCACATCCCATCGAGGCAGGGTGACCCAAAAAGAATACGAAAGTTTCTCTTTTTAACTTTAGTAATGTATACAGGAGAAGGGGTTACTAGCCCCTTGCTCCCGGTATGTTAGTCGCCTCTTACGACACACATGGCTTACGGGGGGAAGAATTCTGTTCCACTTCCCCATGCTGTAATATATAAAACTGTATTGCATTTGCAACTACTGCTTTGATATGCATATTGTCTTTTTAACACATCAGCCATTTCCCACCAAGGCAGGGTGATCCAAAAAAGAAGAAACACTTTCATCATCACTCACTCCATCACTGTCTTGCCAGAGGCATGCTGATACTATAGTTCAAAAACTGTAACATATCTCCACCTCTCCTTCAGAGGGCAGGCACTGTACTTTCCACCTCCAGTTTCCCTGAATCTCTTCATAAATGTTACCTTCCATATTTTTTTAATTACAGTAACACAAGAAAGGTATGCTTGCATAAAACATAACTATAAACGTACTTGGTGATATAAGCCAAGAGCATCCACTAAATCAGTACTGATTCGAGCTAGCAGTGCATGTTTACGGTCAATCTGCTCAAGTTCAGCATCAATCGTTGGAGCCATGGCATTCACTTGCTCTGAAACAAGATAAGATTATTCTGTAAAACTCAGCCTATAGGTGAGATTCCCTTACATGTGGCTTAAAAAAGTATTTCTCTCATTTTTTTTAACTAGAATTTAATGTTACTAAAATTAGCTACTAGTCATCATGTGATTACCCTGAGACACAGCTCTGTCTAATACGAAAAGAAGAGCACACATAATCTCCAAAATTACGACAACTGCAAAAATTTAGGTATTATCCAATCATTGTCTAATGCCAATGAATCTGGATTTTGGTGAATTGTCTGGAAGCATATACTGTGCTCTAGGTTAATACCACTTTTTTATTAGCATAATCTGGTTATCTGAAGTCTGGAGAGTGTCACAATGTAAATTATCATTTGTTTTAGAAGGCTGTCCGAGTGCCGTTACCGAACGAATTTATACCTATCAGGAATAATGTAAATTAGATTAGTTCATTTCAGACCCTCAAAAATACACATATAAAAGCACTTACAAAAATACACTTACATAATTGGTTGAGTTGGGAGCAGTTCGATTTTTGAGGTTCCACTGTAGATGTAGATGTTTTTAGATGTAGGTAGTCAGATTCCCATTAAGAAATGCAAGTACTACTAACAAAACTTACCCTCAAGAAAAGCAAGTTCCTGAGGATCAGGTCGTTCTCCAGTGGGATCAGCTTCATGCAAGACATGGAGCAGTCTGTCAATCTTTTCTTCGTCTATTTCCCCAGTTATTTCTGCAGATTCTAGATTATCTTCACCACCTGCTCCTTCCACTTCGGTAACCTCTACACATTCTGAGAATGACACTCTCTTCCCACTCTCTGTTCCTGAGGATTAGGGAAAAAATTACAAAGGCATACTTTAACTTTCCAATGACTTTTTCTTCTTTTTCTTAAACTGGTCATCTCTCAATGAGGCAGCACAACCCAAAAAGGAATCACTCCCTACGACATACTATTATTAAATCTTAAATTTATGTTACACTTACTTGATGGTTCCGATTCGATATTAAGATCCAAGGTAACGAAGTTAGCAGGAAAAAGGCCTTCGCCTCTATGATTTGTTCCTTTCCACCAATTCCGGTCACTGCTATCCTGAACTAGAACTGAAAACAGAATAAAAACTTTTATTATAACTTTTTTTTTTAACACGTTGGTCATTTCCCACCAAGGCAGGGTAACCCAAAAAGAAAAACATAAAATGAAAAAACTTTCATCATCATTCAACACTTTTACCATCACTCATACATAATCACTGTCTTTGCAAAGGCACTCAGATATGACAATTTAGATGTCCCTCCTAATTGCCAATATCCCAAACTCCTCCTTTAAAGTGCAGGCGTTGTACTTCCCATTTCCAGGAGTCAAGTCCGGCTAACCGGTTTTCCTGAATCCTTTCACAAAATATTACCCTTCTCACACTAACAGCTCATCAGGTCTCACAACAAAATATATAAAATAAACAAATTAAGAGAACTATGCCTATGATCCCAAAACTAAAATATTTGATTAAAGTACTCCACCTATCTCTCCAGCTTTAAAGGTGAGTTCATTGTCTTCAGCTGCTTCAAAATCATAGAGTGCTCTAGCTTTCTGATGTTCCTTGGCTGGAGGTGAAGTGCTGGTAATGGTAGAATCAGTGTCAGCATTCAGGGCAGCTGTAGCGGATGAGTAAAGACTGCTGGAAACTGGGCGAGAAGACTGCTGTGAGCTAGGAGAACCATTTCCTCCAGATTCTTGAAGGGACAACTGAATGGCTCTAGCAATGTCGTCCTCTTCTTGTTTACTGTGTACCACGTTAGGGTCTGTGCTAAACTTTGTTGTTGTTTTCTTGGGCTGGAATAAAAATGTCACCAATTAATTGAGAACATTTACACACTGATGTATACTGTTCATTTTTTTTTTAAATAACAAATATCTACTGTAAAGAAGCCACTTCTGTTTTACATTTTATTCATCAATGAATATGCCTGAACTACACCAATGTCATTTATGAAGAAGTCCAATATCAGACTGCTCAATGAACACAGTGAACAAGGAAGAAGCACATAATATATCTCCTCACTTGGCTAAGAGATGCAAAGAGACAGTGCCATATCCCCCAAACCTACAATTCGTATAATACTTTCAAGTCTGAATATTGCATGATTTGTGTGTGTTTCAAATTACATGACAGATCTAAACAGCATGTTAAAATAAAGATATCAAAAGCACAAAATGCTTAAATGAAAGGTGTATACAGTATAGCATACTGTGACACAAATTCAAACAAAATACAAGAAGGCAGCACAGATATTACCGAATCTGACTGCACACTGAAGTCATAACCATCTTGCTTAAGCTTATTGTAGAGTGCTGGAATGAGACCCAGCTGAGGGTCACCTTTAAATTCACCCTCAGCCCATTTCTTTAAACTTTCTCGGAGTCTCTCGGAAACCTGATGAGAAAGAAAAAACTGTTCATCTACTCAGCAATGGAAGCAATTGTCCATACTGTACAGTAGCATAAAAGAATGAAAAAAAAAGAAGAAACTAATACCTAGAGTACTTAAGCAAAATCACAGAAAATCTGTACTATTGCAAAGGACACTAATTTAAAGTAAAATAAAAAATCATATACATATTTATTAAGCATCTAAGAATAACATAATTTACTTTTTTGTAGCAAGCATCCTACCTCACACTCACCCACCACCTCAGATACTCTGACAGTAAAAGGTGCAAATGTTATCACAACAGCAATTCAGCAATCATTACCACAGGAAAAACAGCAACCATCACCACAACTGCAGCAAACACTGCAGCTGCCACCATCACAGCAACAACTGTAGCTACCACTTCCAACACATCCACAGTAAAAGCTCAAGTGATTAAGTTTCCTCTCCAAAGAACAACTTACTTGTAAAATATAAACACCAGCCACTGTCACAGGAAAAACTTCAAGCAACACCACAAGCAACAGATGTAGATGCCACCTCCAACACCTTCACAGTGAAAAAACTCCAGCTACTAAAATTTCCTCTCCTAAGTGTGGGTTATATGTGAAATATGAACTCCAGCCACTACCACAGGAACAACTGTAGCCACAATCTCAGTCCCCACCATAGCAACCCACCTCAGCCGCCACCACTACCACTGCAGGAATAGTGTCACACAGGACAACAGAAATTGCCGTCTCTCTGATGAGTTGGATCCGCATAATCCTGCAGGAGAATCATTCTGGCCATAATATCTCCACCCACACCATCATCCTCATCTCCATTATTACAAGGAGCACTGGAACACCTTTACCTCATCATGAACCTTATAATAAAATAATATTTGCCTGCACCAACATTTAAATGCAACACAAAGCACTCCAGTAACTTTTTTTCCAAAATTTACCACATACATGTATATGCAAACCCACCACGATAAAAAACTAAATATGATGTACATAATTTAACAATTAGGTACCCTATGATGTGAACACCCTAATCATTAGAAAGAAAAAAATGAACTATGACACAGCACTACATAAACTATAACACAGTGTACCATAAATCATTCAAACTCGTGCAGTATTTACCTTGTGATGAGTTCGTGTACTGGTGAGATGTTTCCGAAGTTCTTGCTCAAAGTCTCTACTTGCTACTTCTAGGAGAAATTTGCGGCCACAGTTGTTGATACATGCATCTAGAAGCTAAGAGGTAATCTTAATTTAATATTTCTTCATACACAGTACATTAAAATTGTTCTAATTATGTTATTATTATATTTGGAAAGCTCTAAATTTATAGGGGTCATTCAGCATCTGAGGAATGGGAGGTAATCAGATTAGATCCGAGGGGAAAGCAGCTCAAACTCCTTGGATTAAGAGCTCTTCACCACCACCAAGGCACATTGCCACAATAAAATGTCACATTAGGGGCATGTGTCCTTCTACCTAACATTTTGTCGGTAATCCTACCATTATTACCTTTTAAGTTCATTGTTGCTTCATAAACTAAAACTAAAGTACTGCACAATATAATGACATGCCTGCAAATAGCATTATGCTTACTGTTATTGCCTGTAAAACAATCCTGGGGTTCTCTGAATTAAGTCTTTTTGCTACAGACTTGATACAATCTCTTGGGCCAACATTATTTTCTTTAACACGATCACATATGTCCATTATCTGTCCCCAGTCCTCACTTGTGTTCTTCTCACTTGTAGCCTTTTCTGAAAAAAAAAACGAAAAAAACAAGTGAATCTAAGCCATCCTCACAATGGATACTATACAGTGGTGTTAGGTTAGGTCAGGTAAGGTTTGTCAGGAAACAGGACATGTGTTTCCTGACAAGGGAATTAATCATACAATGACCCGTAGTTGAAGCTTTTGGTCATCTGACCTTTAAAAACTATGGTTATGATATAACCATTGGATTGGATATAATGGTGTTGATGTTACCCAAATCAGGATGAACCACTTTGATTTTTCTTTTATTTTAGCTTTTGGTGATTATAAATATCGTACATATTTCATATATATTCACAGAAAACCAATGTAAGTCTTCACAGAACAGCATGAGTTACATTCCCCTTCTGGCAAGAAATTCTAAGATGATTGGTATCCTGACTACTGCTGGGGAAATAATAAATGCTGTAGTACTGAACATACAGTGTATTTTTTTTATATAATATAAATGGTAAAAATGTAATGTAATTTATGTGATGAACGTATGTAATGTATGAATGTATGTAATGTATGTAGTGTAATGTATGAATGTATGTAATGTATGTAATGTATGAATGTATGTAATGTATGAATGTATGTAATGTATGTATGTAATGCATGAATGTATGTATGTAATGTATGAATGTATGTAATGTATGAATGTATGTAATGTATGAATGTATGTAATGGATGAATGTATGTAATGTATGAATGTATGTAATGGATGAATGTATGTAATGTATGAATGTATGTAATGGATGAATGTATGTAATGTATGAATGTATGTAATGTTTGTATGTAATGTATGAATGTATGTAATGTTTGTATGTAATGTATGAATGTATGTAATGTATGAATGTATGTAATGTATGTAATGTATGAATGTATGTAATGTATGAATGTATGTATGTAATGTATGTAATGTATGAATGTATGTAATGTATGAATGTATGTATGTAATGTATGAATGTATGTATGTAATGTATGTATGTAATGTATGAATGTATGTATGTAATGTATGAATGTATGTAATGTATGAATGTATGAATGTATGAATGTATGTATGTAATGTATGTAATGTATGTATGTATGTAATGTATATAAGTATGTAATGTATGTATGTAAGTATGTTATGTATGTATGTATGTGTATGTATGTATGTAATGTAATGTAATGTATGAATGTATGTAATGTACTGTATGTATGTATGTATGTGTATATATGTCTATATATACACACACATTATGTACACACAGACAGACAGACAGACAGACAGACAGACAGACAGACACAAACAAACACACACACACACACACACACACACACACCACACCACACCACACACACACACACACACACACACACACACACACACACACACCAACCACACACCACACACCAACCACACACCACACACCAACCACACACACACACCACACACACACACACACACACACACACACACACACCACACACCACACCCACACACACACACAAACACACACACCAACCACACACCACACACCAACCACACCACACACCACAACCACACACCACACACACACACCACACAACCACACACACACACACACACACCACACACACACCACACACACACACACACACACACACACACCACACCACACACACACAATTTTATAAAGCTGCTGAACATACAATATTAATTTTAAAAAATATATGAAGAATACAAGCCATCACAACTTGTAACACTAAGAATAAAGACAACTACTATTTAGATTTCCTCTCAAAGGTCAGCGGCTCAAGATAACTCAAAAAAGCCAATAAATATGACTTACTTTTACTAGTAAGTTAATTTAGGCACAGGTACACATAAGTACAATTTTCATACATTATTATTAGTACTATAATCATAACCAAGCGCTAAACCCGTAAGCGTCATTATACATAACAATGTGTAAATTACTTAGAATAACCCAAAAATAGGTTAGACAAGGTGACTTATTTCCATTAACTCATGCTAAGTTTTTATTTATGTTTATTACACATATTCAGAGCTTTACAATTGTTTTATATAGAAACTTAGGCTCAAATTAACCTAAAATAAACCACTAGTCAAAACACTGTGACTATTTAGTGCCTATTTACTGCTGGGTGACAAAGACAATATTAATCATTTCTCCAAATTCATACAAGCTAATTGCTCTAAATAAGCTATTAAATAAACGCAAAATGAGCTAACAACCAAGTTAATAAACAACTTTTGTGAGTCATTTGCACCTGACAGCAAGTTGTCAACTAGCTAGCCTAAATTAAACGAATAAGAAATTGCCATTTTTCCCTGATAACCAGGCCATTTACAGCGCGCATCTTCACAAATGAAGTGCAAAAGCTTACCGACGATCTGGTCGAAAGGTGATGAAGTGGAAAATAAGCCCATCTTTGGTAAATGTTGCATAAAATGTTACGAGGTGACGAGGGATTTGTTATGATCAAGTGACTGGGATAAGCCAACCTCGTCCGATATATCGAACGACTTTAATTATGCTAATGTTTCTCGCGATTATATAATTTTGTTATGTATTCTCTATTGTAAAATGACAAGCGTAATTATTTAATTTAAATGCGATGATAAATAGATCTCATTATTCAAGATAAAACAAAATAATGTTAGTTATTTAAGACAGTTTTAGTTGATTCGGATAGTTATGATAGCAAACGAAAAGAAATCCGCAAATATATTATATACATATCTTTCTTATGTCTTTCATACTGACAATGTATACAATGTAACATAAAACTTATTTATATAATGAAAACCAAGTAGAGATATGCACTGATTCATGTTACTAGAGATGAGTACACGACGGAAAACATTGCAGCGTTATTGCTTTGAAAATTATATTTACTATAAATGTTGTACTTTGTATACATCTTATTGAATAATTAACTATCCTGAGTGATGTCTATTAAGATAAAGCATATATTTAACATTTAATTCCCATATGTTCTTTGTTATTGCTTTACAGCTGACTATAGTAAACAAATTTTATCAACATCTGACACAGTTTGCTACTTTAAATACAATTTTTATTTCAAAATACTGGGAACGCTTAAATATATAAATATATATATATATATTTGAGTATATCAATTGTTGGAGAACTAATGAAGCTAACAAATTATATTTGACTTGGACATGCACGTTTAGCACTCACAAATTACTCTTATTAATTAGTTCGATATCGTCCAATTTCAGAATATTCCCCCTAACTGGATAACATTAAACAATTTGTCATATATATGCATATATATATGACTATCTGTTGCCATATGCAAACCCTCTGCAAGGCACAAACTGACTTGTCATATGAAAAGTGATAAATGGAATATCAAGAGTAATTGAACCTAGAGTTAGCTGCTTACTAGAATCTGTTGTTGTTGACTCAGGTGGGGGTTGTATTCTCCTATTTGTGAAGAACTGGATACATGTATTCACCTATTTGTGGTTGCAGGGGTCGATTCACAGCTCCTGGCCCCGCTTCTTCGCTGGTCACTACTAGGTCCACACTCTCCTTACTCTAAGAGCTTTATCATACCTCTTCTTAAAGCTATGTATGGATGCTGCCTCCACTACATCACTCTCCAGATTTGTAGATGAATGGTTCAGAGAACCGACATGTTGATAAATTAGACACATGTGCAACTCTTGGGTATCAATAAAGATACCCAAGAGTTGCACATGTGTCTAATTTATCACTCTCCAGATTGTTCCACTTCTTGACAACTCTGTGACTGAAGAAATAATTTCTAACATCCCTGTGACTTATATGAGTTTTCATCTTCCAGTTGTGACCTTTTGTTGCTGTGTCTCATCTCTGAAACATTGTCCCTAAGTAAGTTTATTCAGGTATACACAAATACAATTACATAGATTATTATAATTAGGAGCATATGTGTAGAGAATCTAGGATAACCCCCAGAAAAGTCAGACAAAGTGACTTCCATTGGGGTCCCTTTATCCACCTATCCATCCTGTCAGTTCCTCGCAGTATTTTATATGTCGTTATCATGTCCCTATCATTCCTCTCCTTGACTCACGAAATCTTAATGACACGATTGCAAACAAACCATACCACGGGCGGGATTTGAACCCGCGGTCAGAGAGTCTGGAGTTTTGAGACTCTGACCGTGGGTTCAAATCCCACCCGTGATATGGTTTATTCCTCTCCTTCAGTGTCGTCAGGTTAATTTCCTTTAACCTCTCTTCATAGGGACATACTCATTAGTTCCGGGACTTCATTTTTGAAGACGCTTAGCCAAACAGTGGCTTTATTAAATCAGAACAAACATGATATACAAAGACAGAAGACAGTCTCTCAGTCTCGAAAACTATACACATAAGAGAATGGAAGAGGAGATAATCAGTCCCTTCAGCCTGGACCCCTCAAGGGAGGTTCCTTGACGCTGGTGAGGGGCTCTTGATTTAGGGCATTGGATCTGTGCTTCGGTTCCCTGAATACCTTCCATCCCCCCCCACATGCGCTGTATAATCCTACGGGTTTAGCGCTTCCCTGTGATTATGATAATAATCATAATCTTCAGCCTGGAAGCACCTTGACGAATCCGAATTATAGGCAGAATATTTTGTTCAATCTATTTATTAACCCGCGGGGGCGTTGACCCCCCGAACTCTCTCCAGGTAAACTCCAGGTAAACTGACTTAACTCCTATGGAATTTGGGTTCCATGCTGGTTCTGCATACTTCAAGTTGAGCCTGGCAAATGTCATGCACAGGGTAATGAATTTCTCATTGTCGAGGTCTCTGCAAGTTACCTTTAAATTTAATAGTCTCACATTTACTAGGGCCATTGTAAATGAATGGTTCAGAGAACCAACAAGTTGATAAATTAGAAACATGTGCAGCCCTTGGGTATCTTTAATGAGGAAACGTTTCGCCACACAGTGGCTGCATGATTCATTACCCTGTGCATGGCATTTGTCAGACTCAACTTGAAGTATGCAGAACCAGCATGAAACCCATATCCCATAGAGTTGAGTCAGTGCTTAGTAAATAGGTCCCCAATGAAAATAAATCATGATAGAAATAAGTCATGATGAAACCACTGTGTGGCGAAACATTTTCTCATTAAAGGTACCTAATTTACTAAGCACTGACTCAATTCTATGGGATATGGGTTCCATGCTGGTTCTGCATACTTCAAGTTGAGCCTGACAAATGCCATGCACAGGGTAATGAATCATGCAGCCACTGTGTGGCGAAACGTTTCCTCATTAAAGATACCCAAAAGGCTGCTGTGTCTAATTTATCAACTTGGGTCATTATCGGGTTGATGTGCACATCTGGTGTAAGGTATACACAAATACAGTTATATAGATTATCATACATAGTAGCATGTGTAGAGAACTTAGGATAATCCAAAAAGTCAGACAAAGTGACTTAATTCCATAACGGAGATAAAACACCTCAATTACTGGGAGCGCTTGAGGTTCCTGAACCTGTATTCCCTGGAACGCAGGCGGGAGAGATACATGATTATATACACCTGGAAAATCCTAGAGGGACTAGTACCGAACTTGCACACGAAAATCACTCACTACGAAAGCAAAAGACTTGGCAGACGATGCAACATCCTCCCAATGAAAAGCAGGGGTGTCACTAGCACGTTAAGAGACCATACAATAAGTGTCAGGGGCCCGAGACTGTTCAACTGCCTCCCAGCATACATAAGGGGGATTACCAACAGACCCCTGGCAGTCTTCAAGCTGGCACTGGACAAGCACCTAAAGTCGGTTCCTGACCAGCCGGGCTGTGGCTCGTACGTTGGTTTGCGTGCAGCCAGCAGTAACAGCCTGGTTGATCAGGCTCTGATCCACCAGGAGGCCTGGTCACAGACCGGGCCGCGGGGGCGTTGACCCCCGGAACTCTCTCCAGGTAAAACTCCAGGTGAAATGTTAGGTAATTTGTTCACCCCGAGGTCCCCTTTCAGGAAGGTTGGCAGCCTTTTTCTTCCCTCTCTCTCCCCCTGAACCTGTATGCTGTTTCTAGTCTTCTTTAAATTCCCCATCTGATAGGATTAAATTCTAATAGTCATTTTGCAGACCAGTTATGCAGCTTGTCCAGATCCATTTGTAGTTTTTCCTGGTCTGCCCTTACCTGGAGAGGGTTTCGGGGGTCAACGCCCCCGCGGCGCGGTCTGAGACCAGGCCTCATGGTGGATCAGGGTCTTATCAACCAGGCTGTTACTGCTGGCCGCACGCAAGCTGACGTACGAACAACAGCCCGGTTGGTCAGGTACTGACTTTAGGTGCCTGTCCAGTGCCTTCTTGAAGACAGCCAGGGGTCTATTGGTAATCCCCTTTATGCTGGGAGGCAATTGAACAGTCTTGGGCCCCGGACACTTAATGTGTTGTCTCTCAGTGTACTAGTATTCTCTTCATTAGTTGTACGTCATTGGCGTATAGGGCCATTTTTGACTCGATATTTTATGTCCTAAATAAGTAAGTTTATTTAGGCACAAGTACACATAAGTACAGTTATCATATAGTGTAAATTACCCAGGATAACCAGAAAAGGTCAGCCGAAGTGACTTATTGGTGGGCATCTGGCTTTGCCAGGGTTTAGACAAAGGAATCCTCCTGATCTACTTGAGAACTTATTGCTCCCGTTTCTCTTTTTGGGGCTGAACCTTTGCTTCTTTTAAAATTCCACCTATAATTAGACATTTTTCCCGGACTCCCCGAGACAGGGCTCGGTAAGTCAGGGACCCTCAATGGAAATAAGCCACTTTGTCTGGCCTTTTTGGGTTATCCTAGGTAATTTACACATATGTTGCTATGTATGATAATTTATGTAACTGTATTTATGCGTACCTGTACCTTAATAAACTTACTTAGTAGCAATTCCGCCTAAAATTGGACATTTTTTCCGGACTCCCCGAGGCAGGGCTCAAAAAGTCAAAGACCCCAAGTCACTTGGTCTGACTTTTTTGGGTTATCCCAGGTTCCTACACATATTCTGCTATGTATGATATTCTGTATAATTATGTATACCTGAATAAACTCACTTATTTACTTACTAAATATACTTAATTGCTGAGCTTTAGTGGTCCTTAACAACCTGAGTAGCAACAAACTGTGTTGAGGAATATCGATGAGGGCGTAAAATTTGTCAATTATTTAATGGTTAAATCTTCAATAACGTGACGACGTTCCTTGTAAACTGTTTCAGCTGCTCATATTTAAGAACTGGTAAGTATGAGCAACACAAGACATTGAGCTGATGATTACTTTCATTTTTAAAACTGTTGAAATGTAGTTGAGTCTTAGCTTCCGATTTGCATGAATTTGAATATGCTTTTGTGTAGCCCTGAAGGCTGTATGACCCTTGTGAGTTTAGCGCTCAGTTATTGTAATCATAATAGCCCTGAAGGGAGGTTGCCTGATACCTCGGGGCTCTTGTTCCAAGGAACCGAACCTGACCCTTTTGGATAAAAGCTGAA